CAATCGACATCGCTGGTATTCAAGAGCCAGCTCTTCATATTCGAGTTTTTGATAAAGATTTTGTTGGCGAAGATGTGTTCCTTGCCGAAGGCAAGGTGTCAGTCGACGGCTTGCTGGCAGCGTCAGGGCCAAGCCATGTGCGGTTGGGGCCCGATGATGCTGGAACCGTGTCTGTCAGCGCAGGACAGCCAGGCACTCTGAAGAAGAATGGAGTGCCCCCTTCGGCTCATTTTCCTGCGATGGAAGTGATGGGCGCCGTCAAACACTGCGAAGCCAAGGACGTCAATGGCGATTTCCCACTCCGGGTGGGCAAGGCACCCCTGCCCGCCTCACTCCGAGGCGTCTTTTGGTTGTCTGACCAACGCGACGCATCTGCACTGGCAACCTTTGGTGGCCCCAGCAACGATGGTGGTGGCTGCAGCTTGGGGCAGCTTCTGAGCGGAGATGAAGCATCCAACGGGGACTTGCGCGGTAGGTACAAGCTTCGCTGCGGCGGAGACAGAACATGGGCTGAAGCCAGCATGGCTCCAGTAGCTCGACATCCGCAGTTGGATCTCATATACCACTTTGTCTTTGACAGCGCAACGGTGCCTACAAAGGCCCAAATCTATCCGGAGTGGAGAATAATTCCTCGCTCGGTTGGAACTGCTGAGTTCGTTGGGGATTTCGAGATGACTTTGATTGAGCATGACCCTGATTATCCAGGAAGCGTCATTTGGTTGAGAAATTCGTGGGCACTTGGCCATGAGTTGAAGTCTTCCGAGTACAAGCTGGTGCAGGTTATTGACGAGAATGGAAAGCGCATCGAGCCAGCTTTCACAAAGTTCGTTGATTACCAGAACGCGCGAGAGGGTGCCAATCCAGGCAGAATATTTAGTGGCCTTCGTCCAATCCCGCGTCCAAGAGGCCTCTGGTGGTCTTTCTTGGGGCCTCTAGGAGGTTTCTCAGGGACCTCTTGGAAGCCTCTTGAGGCTTCCCGGGGGCCTCTCGGGGGCCTGCTGGCGGTCTCGGGGGCCCATATTTGGGGGGAAGGGCTCCTGGGTGTCCGGTTCGGGCTCTCCCTCTTGATGCCGCTTTTGCGTTCGAGAGAGTGAGAATGCGAAATTCGCATAAGATCGATGGTGATTCCGTGATTTGGGCTCTGTTCGGCGCCCAGAGCCTCCAAGACGGCCCAAGAGATGCCCAAGCGAGCCCAGAGATAGCCCATGGGGCCGTCACATAGCGATCTCGAGGGAGGCTCGGCAGCCCCACGGCGCGGTCAGTGCCTCAGGGAAAGAGTCATGCTGCACGCCCGAAGAGCGCGCGAGAGTTTCCAAGAACGACCTGAGCTCTAGTGCCCCCCCCCCCACAAACTTGAGATCCATTTTTTCTACGATGCTGAAGTCTGACGAAGGCGTCTATGTCTATACGCCACCACCGTGCCAGGCCATGGCCATCCTGGGCCCGAGGATGGTGGATAGACCCTCCTGGCGTCGGCCAGACGGGCGTATACACCATGCCAGGGCCAGGATTGCCCTGGCTTTGCACGGCCTTCTGCGTATGAAGATTCTGTTGAACCTGAGCACTCTCCACTCATTGCCAATGGCACGGTGGCGGATATTATCGCGAAGTTGGACCAGTCAGCTCGGAAGGATGATGGCCGAATGCACAGCAAAACATAGGTTGTCCGTTCTGTGTTGCTTCGCTCAGCGATTCTGTGATTCAAGCGTAACACTGCGCCACACGTTACACTGACCGCGGCTCAGACTGCGTCCTGAGGTGTCTCTCAGGCCGCGATTCATTGAACGAGCTTGCCTAGAGTAGGTTGGTTCGTGCAGCGCTGTGGAAGGGGGTGGGCGAGGGACGGGGGACAGGGGGGGAGACGACGACGAAGTCGGCGACGATGGCGCCGTCGGTAACGACAGCCTCGAGGGGTGCCTTCCGCGCGCGGTCCACGAGAGGCCAGTACTGCGACCTCACCACGATCACCGACCGGATATGGGGCATGGGGCTGTTCTCGAAGACGTAGCCTTTGCATCGTGAGGAGCCTGGCATGTATGCTCTCTCGCCCGCTCGTCCTGCGACCTTCAAGGGTCCAGGTTCGAGCAACCATATTGGGAAGGCCTTTCGGCTGGCGCCGCCAGCCCTGAAGGGGGCGACGGCGATGACGGCGGCGGCGGCGACGACGACGCTGACGCTCTGGAGCCCTTCTTGGGGCTCTCTTGGGAGCCTTTTGTTGGCGCCTGGGCTTGTGATCGTGGAGGCACATGGAGGTACTCGGGAGGTATCGGAGGACGCAAAATCATTGAAAACACCAAATGAAACCTCACAGCCCCCCTCTCTAGTTCAGCACGAAAAACATCAGATGCGGAACATCGCGTCGGAGAAAAAAACACTAGCCGCCCGAATTCAGCAGCAAGGCGCGCATCAACGCCAAGTCAAATTTGTCTGCCTTTGCACAAGCACCAGAAGACAGCAATGCTCCCTGGGCAAGTTGGCTCCGCTACCAATCCGCCCGAGAAGGGCCGCCCGCCTGCGAGCGTAACCGAGATCGCGCATAGTGCGACGACCCGCGGAGGCTTGAGCCAAAATGGCACTTCTCCTCCTCGTCCGTTCCCTCCCCCTCGTTCCTCCTCTCCGCCGCCGCCCGCCCTACCTCTTCCTCCCCCTCCTTCCTTCCCGCCACCGCCGCCGACCTCTCCTCTCCTCTCCGCCGCCGCCCGCCCCTCCCCCCCCTCTCCACCGCCGCCCGCCAGAGGTGGAGGGGCAGAGGGGGGGGGTGTAACTGGAAGAGGGGGAGGGGGAGACAGCTGGAAGGGGGGGCAACTGGAAGAGGAGGTAGGGGAAAGGGGAGGTAACTAGAGGAAAAAAGGAAAAGGAAGGGGATGTAACTGGAAGGGGAGGTACATGGAAGAGGAGGGGGGGCAAGGGGAGGCGGCTGGAAGGGAAGGGGGGAGGATGGGGAGGAAGGAACTGGAGGCGTCAGCGGAAAGAGTAACTGGAAGGGGAGGTAACTGGAAGAGGAGGGAGGAGGAAGGGGAAGTAACTGGAAGAGGGGAGCAGCACAAGAAACGAGCAGGAGAGACTAGCCGCAGGAGAGGAGGACAAGGAGGAACCGAATCCTCGCTCGCAAACTCGCGAGCTGCGAGCGGGCTCGTCGGAGCCGCGAATCCCGCTCCAGGGCCTGATCGTGCGTCAGGCCGTCACGATGTCGTCGGACTCTGGCCGACTCCTGCTGTCCGCGGTCGTCTCGACCAATTACTTCAACTTCAGGGCGGCCTCGAAGCGCTTGACTAGCGCCGCGTGGAGGTCCTGGGAGAGGACCACGCCGCCGTTCTTCATCTCATCCGTCGCCTGGGCGACGATCTTCCTGATCGTCTGCTTGTTCGTCTCTGTGCTGAGGCCCTTCATGGCCTTGAGCGTGCCCAAGGTGGCCTTCGACACACGAACGACTGTGTCGATATCCTCGGAATTCACGGCAGGTTTGCCGTAGCTGTTGACTAACTTCACGTGGGCGTTCCAAGCCTGGGAATCAATTGTTTCTTTTGCTCCGTATCCTCCTCCTCATCCTCCGTATCCTCCCGACTTCCGTATCCTCCCTAGCTCCTCCCTCCCCGAACCGTCTCCCTCATGTCAGAATCATCCTCGTACGTGGCATGCGGGTGTGTATCGGATTTGATTGCTGGCCGCCTTCTCGAACGTGCTGATCCGCTTCTGGAACTTATCGTAGTCGACCTTCATCAGCGTCTCACTCGCGATCTTCATCATCTCGTCGAACGTGGACTTGGCGTGCCCCGCCGCGGACCAGTGCGAGCCGTCGGCCATGCCGCCCGAGACCGCCGCCAAGTCCACGAACATGCTCTGCGTCACAGTGTCGCTCTTGGAGATCAGCTCGTCCGCGTAGGCGTCGATCGTCTGCTCCGCGCGGGTGGTCAGCGCCGCGAAGCTTGCTCTTGCCACCTCATCGTAGTGTTGCCACTGGCCCGCGTACAACTTGGTCTTATCAAGCTTCATCTGGACGGCCCTGAGTGGCGTGCACTCGTACGTCTTTGAAACAACATTCTTAATGTCTGCTGCAGCGGGGGCTGTCGACTGGAGAACGTCCAGAGCAACCTGTAGCTCGCTGAAGTACTGAACGAGCTCGAATGTTGCCATCTTGCTGTCGTCCCACCCAGCCAAGTCCGTCATGTCTTTGATGTGGGTCAGCACATCGGCACTGGCGCGGCCCAGCTCCTGCACTGCTGTTCGGACGGCCGCCGTCAAAGCCAAGCTCACATTCTCACGGTCATGATCGGTCAGCTTGGTGCCAGCGCATGACTCAGATGCCTTCTTCAGGGTGCCCAAGTGCACCACCATGTCCACGCACTTCGTCTGCGGGTCGGCAGCCTTTTGCACAACGGCCTCGCACGCCTGAGACAACACAGACCGCTGCGCATCTGCAGAGGCATCCTTCAGCATGGCGGCCGCGGACTCGCAGTAGTCGTTCACTTCCTTCGAGAAGGGCATGGCGAGGGAAGCGGCGCTCAGTAGATCCTGGAAGGCTCTGATGCGAGCAAGCCTGTTGGTGCCAATGGGGCTGCTCTCCAGGTCGTCCTGCGCCTTCGCGCAATGGGCCAGCACGCGGGCGAGCAGGACCGTATGGAATGATGCCATGGTCTGCTCGCTCAGGGCGTTCGACCATGTGGCGAAGTCGTCGCAAATCCTCTTGAGTCGCGCCTGCTCGTCATCCAAATCGATATCGGGGCTGGTGTCGTTGATCCAGTCCGCGTCAGTCGTGATAGCTTTATGGTACCTCTCGAGCTTGGGCAGGATGTGCTTGAAATCTGCAAGCTTGCCGTTGTAGAAATAATTGTCGCCCTCGAAGGAAGCCTTGACGATCCCCATCGGACTGGACGAACGATGCTGCTTTGAGTTGTCCCAGATGCACATATAACTCTCGGACGCCGCGCAGATCTCCTCGATGTCAGTGGACAAGACGCCGAGAACAAACCGAAGTACTTGGAGCGCCTCCAACTGCAACGCCTCGAAAACCTCAGGGGTGTCATCCGCTGCGTTCGCTGCGTCGCCCTCGAGCATGGCGATGAACTTCCTGCAGAAGGGAACGACCACGCCCACGAAAGACTCCCCGCATGCAAGCCACTTAGAAAGGAGATCGGAGAATACACATGCCTTGTATATAGTAGCCAACTCCTGCGGCGGTCGGGGGAGCATCGCGATGGAGACATCCTTCATGGAGGGCCTATCGGGCATACTTGTAGAACATGTACTCCATGGGCGCACTGTCAAGTAGAACTTCGCGTGCTGCTCATCGGACGGCGTCTCAATCTTGTAGTAGTCCTCCTTGGCCCGCTCGACGAGCGCCGCTACAACGGCCTCGGGGATGGCGAACCCTGCGTTCTGGAGCTTGTCGAGGTTCGCCGTAATCGCGCTGACGTCGCCAGTAGGTATGTTCCGCGAGCTGCTATCCTCCGCTATACGGACCTGCTGGGAACGCAATGCGGAAACAAGACTGAGAACCATAAGGAAGGAAGGGGGGTCCAGGATCATTAACTAAACAGTGCGGGACCCACTCGATGTGGGCCCTGACTCGGTTGTGCTCGTGAGGCGCCATCTTGGAGTACGCCTCCTCCGCGTGCCAAATGGTTCTGCCGAAACGCTTCCCAGTCAACGCCTCTGCGACTGGTAGTTTGCTGATCCACTTCTGCGCTTGGTCCTGGCACGGGCTCTGATCCCACTCGGAGGCAGCGGCGTCGGCAACTCCGACCTGCGAGGCGCTGTCCCTGGGCCCAATATCGCCGTCGCCTGATGGGCTTGGAAGCGGAGAGCGGTCGCGCCCGCAGCCCGAAGCCGGCGCGCCAGCAGCGAAGGGGCCGCAGCCAGAGGCGGCGCCTGATGCTGGACCGCGCGGCAATCCAGTCGGCGTGCCTGCCACGCTGGCCGCCTTGGTCAAGCAAGACGTGAGCGACCGCTGGATTAGGGTGCGAGGCTGCGCCGCCACCGCTGTCCGTTGCGGGGCTGCCCTGGCGACTGCCTGTACCTGGAGTCCAGATGCAGAAGCGCAACCCACGCCAGCCTCAGGCCCGTCGTCAGCGTCGTCATCCTCCTCGGCAAGATGTTCATCCTCCCCCTCCTGGGGCCCGAAACCGTCCAAGATGTGCTTGATCGAAGCCAGGTGAGCCTTCCCCGTGAGGACCTGGTAGCCCGATCCTTCCATCAACTCGTTGAGGCCAGCGTCCATCGTCTGCTTGCCTTGGGCCGAATGGATCTGGGCGCTGGGGCTCATGCGCTCCTCGCTGAGAATGAACTGCTGGTCATTGTACAACTTCATGGCTCGATGCGGCAAGCTGGCGTCGTACAAGAATGCCCAGACGGTCTCCTTGGTCGTGCCGTTCTCGATAAAGATGTCGAACTTATGGAGGCCCGTAGTGTTTCTGACCGTCGGCTTCATATTGAACACCTCTTTGAACTCTCTCTTGTTCAATATGGTCACCTTCCGCTCGATCTGGAAGCCGACGCGATGGCGGTACTCCACGCCTTGCGACAGAAACTCACGGGAACCAGGCGCATTCTTGACATTGCGAGCCTCGACCACCTGAGCGGACCCCTCCTCTGTCATGTTGTGTTCGATGAACTCGCCCGGGGCCAGGTGCGGGAAGCCGTCGCCGCGCAGAGTCTCGCAGAGGCCGCAGAGCAGCACGGGCGGATCCTCCAGGAAGGGGGCGTGCAGAAGGAGGAGGAGGGCGTGGAGAGGTATGGCGGAGCGGGGGACGATGATAGGGGTGGGGGAGCAGCAGCTCTTCGGTAAGAAAGAAACACGTCAGCATCAAAAACTAAGAACCTGCAACGAGTTATTTGGGCTGATGGTCCTGCGCGGGCACCTCTACGCAGCATATCCCGCAGAAGCATGACCGACGAGAGCTTTTTGTCGGCGGTCCGCCGCCTCCGCCGCCTCCAGGGACCCCAGGGCCGCCTCCGCCGCCTCCCAGAGAGGACGCAGCCTGACGTTTGGACCCCGCCTGCTGCCTACCCACAGCCCTGACCAGAGCGGAGCCGCCGCTGCCTGCTGCTCTGCGGCTGCCGCCCTTGCTTCCGACGGAGGAGGCGCCCCCCCCTCCGACGGCGGAGCACGCGCCTGATGGATTGGCCATCTTGGCCAGGAGACCCGACATTGCTCGCGGCAGCCCGACGCCCCGAAAGCCAGGGCGCGCCACGTGCCACTTGGATCCGGAATTGCGATACAAACCTTTGGGCAACAGGTGCAGATGGCAACAGTGACGAAGAGGCGGCAACACCTCAAAGTGCGCAAGCATCCCCCAAGACGGCCAGGATTGCCCAATCTGGTACCCAGGGCCACCACCCCCCACGGGCTGCCACTTTGGCAACGCACGAGCTAACCAAAGATGGCTCCAACATGTCTCCAAGACGGCCCTAGGCTGGCCCTCGACAAGCGGCCCTAACTTGCGCCTGCGTTGATGGCTAAAAGTTGCGCCAACGTTGATCAGCACGCGCCTGAGCAACCAAACAACAGTGACGATTAAAAAGAAAGCGCTGTTGAGGAATATGAAAGCGATAAGGCGGTGCGTACGATGAGGGTTGTACACGCTATCTCCATAAGAAAAGTCGGTCGGACCAGGATGACAAGGGTGAGCATGATACGGGAGAGCAGGGTAAGGACATTACGAGCATGACGAAAGTATTGCTGATGAAAGTGGGGGCAAGAACGTAACGGATGACACTGATGACGGGAAAGAACAGGAAACTGATAAGCGCGAGAAGGGCTTAGCGGCTAAGGGCTAAGGGGGTCGCGGCGAAGGGCCCCTCCCCCTCCCCCCCTCCCCCCCCGCCACACACACGCACGCGCACGCGGGCCCCTGCATCTTCCACCAGCCCCTCCTCGCCACCCCCTCGACCCCCTCCCCTCCCCCTCCCCGCCCCCGCCCACCCACCCGCCCACCCGCCCACCCACCCACCCGCCGCCTCCCCCCCTGCCGTCGTGCTATCCCCCTGCCTCCTCATCACAATCCTCGTCCTCTTGCCAATTCCTCACAATCCTCCTCCCCCTAGCCACCTCCTCGCCATCCTCCTGCCCCCTCTTCCACCCCTCCCCTGAAGTTCCTTAAAGCTCATCGCTGCCTCTCAAGGAAGCAAGTCCCAAGCATCCGTCCTCGCTCCCCTCGAGCAAGCGCCGCTCCGCCTACGAAGGCGGAGCTGCTTTGAACTGAGAAAACCGCCTGCGCTCGTCCGCGCGTTCATGGTCGAACGCGCGGGCCACCTTGCAACGCAATTCCGCCCCGCGGCCTCGGCGTGCCAGCGGCCCCACAAGAGCACGTAAGTGCTGCTAAGGTGCCGAGCAGCATTGCTCGATATGTAGCGCTGGAGCAGCGCCTGCAGCGCGACCCAGCCCCTGCGCGCCCCATGGCGCGCTGTTCAAGCGGCAAGAAACGATCGCTCGAAACGCCACATGCGCTGTCGGACGTGCAGCCCATACACGCCGGGCCCGTCGCCTTCCATGCGAGGCGGCGAATCGGCCGAGGCCGCCTCGCCGAGCGGCCCCAGGGCCGCGGGCCGAAGCGACCGCTGGCTGCGGCTGCGGCCCCTGGCCGCCACGTTGGGCCAGCCTGTCGGGACGCCCCGTCGGCCCGCCCTGTCGGGCTGCGCGTCTGGGTGGGCGTCAGTGGGCGGGGGGGGGGGGTCTGACTCTCGGCCCGCGCAAACCACGCAGCTGGCCCTGGCGGCCATTGCGGCAGTGTTGGGCAAAGGCGGCCGCCATGGCCTAGGTTGCCAGCCTTACCTGCCTTGACCAGACACACTCGGATTGCAATGCCGAGGGCGCAAGGCGCGCACGCAACCAGACACCAGGCCCCGCGGCCTCAAGGCGGCCTGAAGGTAATGGAAGCCTTCTGCTGGGCCCGCAACAGAAGGCACTCGGAGACGAAGACTGCGTGAGAGCCCGACCCCAAAAGGCCACAGCCACTGAAACGGAAACATGATTATGCGAGCGCCGATGGGCGCGCATCCCAACTGCGCCCCCCCACCCGCGGGCGCCCGAACCCCGCGAACCCCGCATGATGGGGCTTCCCCATGGCGATGGCGGGGTCTCCGCGCCCTATGCCGCGGACGCTGCGGATTCGACAGGCGTCGGCTCCGACGTCGCGACGCAGGTGGACTCAGGGCGCCCGCGCCCATTGGCTCAATGGTTGGCATCCGCCCGCACGCGCCCTCCCGTGGCCACCGCCCATGGGCGCGAGCGGTGTCCACCTCCCGCGTGCGCGACCTCTGCCAACCGCCTGCGGGGTGCACACGTCGGCCACTGCCAACGAAAAGAACCAACCCAGCAAATCCTGACACCGAGGAACCCGATAACAGGTGTTGCCGAGCAAGAAACCAAATGCGGCGCCAAATTGCGTGGAAGTGCCTTGCGCAGCTGCGAGTGAGCTTCACGGCTTGGCAGGGTGGCGTGTGCGTGTATGTGCGTGTGTGTGTGGGGGGGTGGGGGGGGGCACGCCGATTGTCGGGGTGACCCCCATCGGGGGCCCTGGAGCGAGCGCAGATCGATGCCGCGATCCCGAGTTGCGCGCGGGCTGGGTCGCGGCTTGGGGAGCGCAGCCGAGAGCCGAGAACTCGGACTGCGGGCCGAGGGCGCGCTGCGCCTGGCGCGCGGCATCGGACGCAAGGACAAAGGCTCAGGCCATGGGCTCGGCGGCGCAGGGGCGCCGAACGCGATGATCTGGACTTCAAGCCCAACGTGTAGGGCCCAAGGCTCCGCGCGCACGGCCCTGGGCTCACGGCGCGGGGCGCGCGGTGTTGGGGCTTCTGCCTGGGGCCGCCCAGCTCAAGTCCCAGGATCACACAACCCAGAAAAGGGGGGCGCATTGCATTCGGAAGGCCGAAGGGCCTCGCACCTGAGCCACCAGCCCATGTAAGCAGCGAGCCAGACGCCGAAGCCAAACTCCGAAGCGGCGCGCCCCCGCGCTAACACACTGCGCCAGGAAAGCCGCGAGCTAGTAGCCCGAAGCTCGAGGCCGCCGCAATCAGCCCGAAGCGTTCCCAGCTGGGTCCCAACGCGAAGCCCTGGGCTTTGAACCACGTGCACGAAAAGCCGTCAGCCCGAAATGTGTGCATTAACATCAAGCCTTTAGCACTGCGATCTCAATCGCAGACTTAAGCCCTCGGAAGCAGGCACTGGGCACCGCGAGCCCTCAAGCCTCATGCCCGCAAGCTCCTGGGTCGCGGCTTGGTTCGCAGAGCCCAGAGTCCGATGCCAGAGGCCCGCGACCCCCCCCCCCCCCCACCGCCACCACCACCCACCCACCCACCCCGCCCACCCCATTTCACACCAAGTCTTGAAACACGCCCGCCGCCCCTAGGCCCTAGGCCCGATGCCAAGGGCACACCCGCAACAATCAAAGCCAAAGCCCCCCCCCCCCCCACACCACCACCCCGCACACGCGCACACACACGCACGCGCGCACACGCACCACCATCAACCACCACCACCACCACCCACCCCCCCCAACCACCACCACCACCCCCGCACCCCACCTCACCCCACCCACCCACCCACCCAACCCCGCCAACCTCACCCACACACATCTCCACCGCCCGAAGCTTCGAGTCGCGGGCGATGGGGCCTTCGAGCACCAGACCTCAACCCTTAGAGACATTGCAGCAGGAGCCTTGGGTCTCCAGCTTCGGCGGCAGCAGTCTGGCAGAGATCGCAGCTGCGTTCGGTGAGTCCTTCGCCACATAAAATCGCGCCCACCAAATGCACCTGCGCTGCATTCCGCTGGGGGCGACGGGCGGGGCACGTTCCCGCTGGGCAGCGAACGACAGCGCGATTATCAACGCGCACACACCATGTAGGCAGCGATTACGGCTGCGGAATTGGCTACCAAGGTACTGTTCGTCGCGCGCGTACATCTTTGTAGATGCGCATAGCTCGCGTAAGCAATGGCGAACTCACCCCTGATGGCGAACACCTGACCGCATGTTAGCCACTGCTGCGATATACAAACAAATGGGCAAGTACTGCGGCTCGCCCGAGCGGCGGGCATCTGGACGCGTGAACACTTCGTTCGCCACATCGGTGGCCCGTTGGGCGCGCTGTTCTTGTTGCGCTGGCTGCGAGCTGCAGGCGGCGGACCAGACCAGCCAAGCTTCGGCGTCAGCAGATGGCTTCGAAGACATTCATCACTGGGGGCAGAAACGCACCATTACCAGTGGCGTCAAGAGCGCCTGCGTGGCGAATACCAAGCAGCATTCCCCTTGGAAGAATTATTAATGCGCGGGGGGGGGGGCGCCTGCTGGCTCGCTCATGAAGCACATATGAACCCCGACAGAAGGCGGGTGGGCTACGTTTCTCACATTGGAAACATCAACGCCCATGGAAGGATCTTGCTTTCTTCGGTCGGAACACTGAACCTGCCCACTGTCCAAGGATGCGATGTAATGCAAGAGCTTGCTTGTTCAATGCAGCTCTCAGGGTAGTGATGGGCGTGGGCAGCGGCAGGCGCTGATCCATGACGGGCCCCACGCGCGCCATCCAACTGATTATCGCGCGGTGACGGCGCGCGGTGCTGCTTGGCAGAAGAATTGAAGACCGTCGGCCTAAGCCCAACATAATTTCGGTTGGTGGTTGGTACGTTGATTAGCGCCGGTAATGCATGTACTGCCGCGCGTGCCATATGGTGTCGCGTCGGCGCGCGC